AATTCATCCATTCTAAATTGTTTTGATTTTAAGCATAGAAACAAAATTAATCCGAGATAAATTATGATAACGTTTTTTTTCTAAGAAGAAAAGAATCGTTTAATATCCTAATCAGAAGATAATTCCCATTTTGTTTTATCCGGCTAATTTAATTCTCATAGATACATCTTTAATTTAATTTGTTGGATTTTATTTTTTATTCTTTTTCTTTCTGTCTTATAATTTAGTTAAAATAAACGAAATACCATAAATCTCTTACTTACTTACTTACTTACTTACTTACTTACTTACTTACTTACTTACTTACTTACTTACTTACTTACTTACTTACTTACTTACTTACTTACTTACTTACTTACTTACTTACTTACTTTCTTACGCTTGTTAATCCTCGTGAAGGAGCATAGACCGCTCACCAGCATTCTCCATCCAACCCTGTCCTGGGCAATCCTTTCCAGCTCTTTCTAGTTGTTATTCATCTTTTTCATGTCTGCTTTTATTTCCCGATGTAATGTGTTCTTAGTCCTTCCTCTTTTCCGCTTCCCTTCAGGATTTCAAGTTAAGGCTTGTCTCGTGATGCAGTTTGACGATTTCCGTAACGTATGTTCTATCCATTTCCATCGTCTTTTCCTAATTTCCTCTTCATCGGGAAGCTGGTTTGTTCTCTCTCACAGTAGGCTGTTGCTGTTTGTATCCGGCCAATGGATGTTGAGCATCTTGCATAGACAATCATTTATAAATACTTGTACCTTCTTGATGATGGTTATAGTAGTTCTCCACGTTTCGGCTCCGTACAGTAGGACTAACTGCCTTGACGTTCTCACTTTGATATTGGTTGACAGTTGTTTTGAGTTCCATATGTTCTTTAATTGTAGGAATGCGTCCCTTGCTTTGACAATCCTCACCTTTTCGTCTGCATCTGATCCTCCTCATAAATTTCTTGCTGGTAATAAACAGTTTAAATCATGCCATTTTAAATAAGATACGATATAATTCAATGATCTTAATAGGCTTCAGAATTATGGTGTTCTTCTTTAGTGTCTGATTCAAAACTACATGTTGTGTCACTAAGTTAGAAGATATAAAAACATTGGAAACTGTCTAATCGATTAATAGACTGGGTGAAACGAGACATATCTTAAGGTTGTGCTCAAATGCTGTCTTCAGGCTAAGCGCTAACTGAAACGTAATAAACAAGGTACGTTGTTAGACGAACCTGATGATGCACTTTGTCAAGGCCTTGGCCTATATACATATACCAATGATTTGAGTACGTTGTTATTCAAGTGGCAGCGACAGCTTTCAAGTCATTTTTAGTCCTTTCACTCACGTGCCAGTTTAGGTTTGAGTTTAGGAAGCGTGTATATTTGATTGGACGACCGCAAAAAATAGCGTTTATGTTGTGGACAATCTCCTTGACAGTAAAGTTGAATATAGTGTTTTCGGTTTAGTACTAGTTTAAGCCTGAAATGATAAGTAGTGTTGTTTGCCCTGGGATTTGAACTCAAATCATTTAGTTTCACATACTGAGACGTTTTCATTAAGGTACTTGAATGTCCATTGACCTTCCGTAGGACTGAGATATCTACAAATGATTGATGTCTGATTGTTGACGGATTTCATGTTTATTATACTCCTTCAGTTTTAGTCGACTTCTATCAATGAAACTTCGGTTTCCATATGGATCCTTATTTTCCTCAAGATTAAAGGTGCTCTTCGGTGACGAATATCAGTTTCCAAGAAACCTAGATGAAACAGGATATCCTGATGACTACTCCCACTACCTACATAATACACGCGATGTAGAGTCATTTAGAGTAGTGATCATATAAGGCGGTCTGCTTAAATATTTGAGCTACCTGTGTTCTGCCATCTGGATATTTCAACAAGTTATCTGTTTTCTCGTTTGTTTTAACACATCATTTTGCTTATTAGTCTCATCACTTATTCAGGTGTGTTTGTGAAAAGCTTACTACATTTGGCTGTATAAGTTACAAAAAAGCTTAATCAGAGACAACGTGGTTGCTGGCAATATCCATCGAAAAGAATAAACATTATTCAGATGTCTATTCCTGAACTGCTAATGTCTAACTGGGAACCACCCAGTATTTATCACAAAGATCTATCAAGAAACGGAAACCTGTTGTAATAGTTTGTGCTGAGAATTCTATATTCTACCAAAAATATAATATTGAATAAAGCTACTACTACTACTACTACTACTACTACTACTACTACTAATAATAATAATAATAATAATAATAATAATAATAATAATAATAATAATAATAATAATTACAACTTGATCTATAGGTTTTGAACGGTAACACCAAAGGTTTTGACAAACATGACACTGAATACTACTGAAAGATCAACCAATTTTAGACTGACTATATTTTGGCCTCACACTCGTAAAAGTTTTCAAGCTGAATAATCGCTAGTCAAGCTTCAGTCTTCTGAAGTTTGATGAAGTCATTATTATCGGAAGGGGTTTGTGGAGATTTTACAAATTTCACAGATTGAAATCATGAGTCAATTTAAGCTAGACCACCATGGAAAACCTGGAAACACTGGACGGCTGTTTCATCCTAGTATGGGACTCCTCAGCAGTGCGCATCTACAATCCCGCACCCTGCGGGATTCTAAAATCTCCACAAACCCCTTCTGATAATAATCATTTGCTCACTAGTGACTGAATTCAAGAGATATTCCTGGAGTTCTAGTGGGAAGCCGTTACCAGTGGAGTTCAACCAGTTCTGTTGTGAGATATCAGCTCACTGAAGACAATGGTGGATTGTGGCGCAACTTCGTGGATTGGTTGAAGTTAGACATTAACACCGTTGGATGCCGGCTCAGTGGTCTAATGGTTAAGTGCTCGCGCGCGAAACTAGTAGGTCCTGGTTTCGAATTTCGCGGGGTGCGGGATCGTGGATGCACACTGCTGAGGAGTCCAATACTAGGACGAAACGGCCGTCCAGTGCTTCCAGGTTTTCCATGGTGTTCTATCTTCAACTGACTCATGATTTTAATCTGTGAAGCCATTGTTGTCGGACTCCAGGAAATTGATTTCTGTGTTCAAAATGAGACGGTTGTTAACATTCTTTTGTCTTGATAACATAATAATTTCTTCATTACACCATAAAATTTTGTTCAACTCTTTCTTTGAACTAATTACATCAGTACATCTTTTTTATTTCGACAATCTCCTAGACTAGTAACCTTATTTGAACTAAGCTGTACTCATTTTATTCTTACTGATTATCAGTGTACATTGATAACGTTATAGTAAACACATTGAATTTCTTCATTATGTACATTCTTCTAATTTGAACAATTAACCCATTGTGTAAGTCTGATTGAAAGCTTGTCTACACCTTAATCTTTATTTAACCTCCGATTGGTTGTAAACACTGACAATCAATAATTTACTCACAATTAATTCACACTTATAAAATACAGAGATATTTCTATTGTGTATTCTCACTCACTTCCCGGTGTGCTTTGTCTTTAGTGTGCTTATGGATTTTATTAATCATCAGCAATACATCGTTCTAACAACTGGTGTTCTGGTTTTTGAATAAGTAAATTCATAGTACTACTAGGAGAACTGGCTTACTAAAATATTCTGATGACGGAACATTGTATATCAGAGTCAAATAAAGGGGAATTAACCCCTACAACGTAATCACATTGTTGTGATTTATTCACAAATCGAAATACGACTTATACAATCTTAGTACTGTGCCAAACCAACGACGTTCGACCGGTATGAGCAGCCTAGTATCCTTATTGATCCTTTGTTCGTCTAGCCTTTCCAGTTGAGCCCAGAACGACAATAACAGCTTCAATATGCAAATCATTTGATTTATATACAAGCCAAATAGACCACATTGCACCATAAAATAGGAAATAACATTTATACAAGATCAGACCAAAAAGTGGCTGTGAACGTGGGTGTTGGTAATTAATAAACTGGTTTTTTTTATTGAGATCATGAACCTACTGATGTTAGACCACCACCTTTGGAAGCCTGAAAGCACTGAACGGCTGTTTCGTCCTATTGTGGTACTCCTCATCAGTGCGCATCCACGATCCCGCTCGCGGGATTTGAACCCGGGGCCTTCGGTCTCGCGCGCGAACGCTTAACTAACTGGACCACTGAGTCGGAATCCAATAGTGATAGTGGATGGTTTTGTCATAGATCTTTCATCCTTCTTCTGAACGACATCATCAGCACAAACTTCAGCTGAGAGAACAAAACTCCATCAAAATCATCTACCTGAGCTACAAATCTATCTAGATCAGTGACAAATAGAATTTATTGTTTCATAAACATATCAACTTCTCTGTATACATGTTAAAATACCAAAAGAAATAATGATTAATGATAATATAATCAAATCAGTGAATTGGATGACGGTGTTAGCCACAAAATCAGCAGATTAGATGAATATCAGTGTGGGGTTGTAGGGATTGTTAAGTTTTTGATTAAAATCATGAATCGATGAATGTTTGATCACTATTGTAAACCTGAAAACAATGGACTGCCATTTCGTCCTAGTATAGAACTTCTCAACAATGCACATTCACAATTCTGAATGTAAGATTCGAACAGTTAGATACTGGTTCTGTGGTCTAGAAGTGAAGCATTCACACGAGAGATCAAATGTCTTGGGTTCGAATCTCACGTTGTGGGATCATAGATGAACATTACTGAAGAGTTCTATACTATGACAAAACGGTTGTCCAATGCTTTTAGGTTTTCAAATACTTGTCTAACACTCATCGATTCATGATATCAACCAACAGATGAAATGAAATTTACCTTTTTTCGTGCTAATTTGATCGTCAATTATGTATGTCCTTTATTTACATGTCTGTAAACACAAATATTTTAACAAATCATAGATCAGCACCTATTAACCAATCAGAATGGAGTACTGTTCATTGTTCTGATTGGTTTATTTGGATCCGACTATAAAAGTGAGAATAGAAATCATATTTCTTTATATTAGTTGGAAACATATATATATTTAAGATACTGGGGTTATTTGTAACCGGGGTAACATTACTCAAGTCATGCTTGCATATGCTGGTGTTTTTAGTTGTTTAGTTATATTTCTACCATTAGTTCAAATGGTTACACTTGAACAAGCTATGTCAGATCCTGATAAATATATAAGATATGATACTAGTGATTTTAATATTGGAATGCATGTTGGACTTTCATTATTAATTAATTATGGAATTCTATCAACTGCAGTTTTATTTATAGTTATAGTATCTAAAGCTCTTGGATATAAAAGGAAACGACATGGTTAAAATGAAAGGTAAGATTTATTTTTCTTAATAATTATTATTTTTATATGTTTCTTAATGACTTTTTCGTTTTAAAATTGGTATCCCAAATTCTTTGTTGCTGTGTGATAAGTTTTGCGGATTAAGAACGCTATATTCGTCTCCTAAGCTATTCTGTAACCCCCAAACTAGAACAATACAGCGACTTGAACACGAGAGAGAAGTTTCAAAGTATGCGGGAAGTAGTTTACTCCAAGATTCGTTTTACTACAGAAAATACAGGATTTTTATAAAAATTTTAAATGTCTTTGGGTTGCTAGAAGATTCTGGAATGCTACTAATTATAGTAGCAGTGTAGCAGCCAGCCAATCAGAGCCTCTGCGTGTGACGTTTCGCTTCCTTGATATTTTTGGCTAAGACTTCAAGTGAACGCTGATTGGATGAAACGCTTTCTTAGTGATTCGTGATGCTTACTTGTCTTTTGCAACCAGCTTTCTGGATCACCCCGACAATGTGACCTTTCTTTTTTTTTAATAAAAAAAGCTATTCTTTTGCTTTGCTACCAACTGTTCTAATTAATAATCGGATTTATTGATCGTGGATGCTCATTACTAGAGAGTTCCATGATAGAATGAAACACACATCCACAGTGCTTCCAGGTTTTCCATGGTGGTCTAGATTTAAGTAACTCATGTTCTTAACTATTGAAAAAACAAACAATAAATTTGGTTCTATTTCGATTAAATCAAAACTGAAGTTAAAATGTTTTATATTGGTTTAAATAAAAATCACCCCCATCTATTTAGTTTAAAAATTAATTCAATAATTATTTACAGTTATCGTGGTATGGCTTAGATACTGAGGTTTAAGATATTAAAGAAAGATTTTTGAGAGGTCTAATTCATCATTTATCATAGTTGAATGCTTAGATTGTTGAAATACAACTTTAGGTTCTTACAAAATTGACAACTTGACAATATATATTAACTTTCAAGAAGTAACTAGGTAGTTTTGGAGTCTTCATGTTTGTGGAGTGACGACTCAGTGATTAAAGCATCCGACATCCGAGTACTATACAACAGGTTCGAACCTCTTGCCATTTAAGTTGGTTTAGAGGGTTGTGTTGCATCACTAGCTCTTAGATTTGGAGTGTCGTTGAAGACCAACTACACGAATATGTATGTGGAAAATTAATTAATAATAATTTTGTAATCTTTTATGGAATAAGTTGTCAACAATACATTATGTAAGCCTGTATTTCAAACAATAATTTGTAAAAATGGCAGAAAGCTAACTAATTATGTAAACGGCGGTTGTAATCACAAAAGTTAACTAAACACTAGCGAATACACATGTGATTGATAGAATACAAGTACCTCTACTTGGATTCTGTGCTGATGATGTCGTTCAGAAGAACGATGAAATCTCCATGACCAAACCATCCAGCTCAGAGAACAAATTTTTTTTTACTTATTATTTATCTGAACACATAGGTATTGGTACAAGGGAGCACCAGATAAATATGCGCCTCACAAATCAAATGAGATTTGTGTGAGGGCTGTTGATACTGTCAAGGTACCCAAACCGGAGCAGGTGGTTTTCTGGGGGGCCACACCCGGAGCCTTTGACCTGAAGGTCTGATACACAAGGCAGTGGAACAACGTGGAGAGATGCATTCCCATGGTATCCCGTGACCAGTAACTGGTTCATACACCATTCATTCCCTCAGGAAACTGAAGTCTATGTGCACCATTGTTTGGGAACCAGGGTATTCCAACTCCCCTAGGTGGATCCTCCGTATCCACCAACCCGGTTAAAGCGCCGGACATTCGCTTTTCGTCCTCTCAATTTTGTAAACAACACCCGTGATATGAGAAGGCGATGGGTAGGACTTCCCTGGAAGAGGCTATATACGCGTGGCCATGTGAGAACATTTCGAGAGGGAGAGCGGACTCTTCCCATTCTCGGCCGTACCAGGGCATTTGGGGGCACAGAGAACAAAATTTCATCAGAATACAAGTAGTCAGGAATTCATGTTTTATTTTATATTTAAAACTCAATGATTTATCAATATGTGTAAATTTAAAGGATTCATTTATAAAATCTTGTCACGTAAATCATCTAGTTTAGAGCACACACACACCAAAGTATCCACCTAAGCTGCAAATCTCCAATTTCTCATTCTGAATTAAATCATAATACATAATAAAATTTACATAGTGAATTTTTTTTCTAGTTTTATGAATATAAATTACATTTTTCGCTATAACTGTAGCTAAGTCAAACAATGTTTGAACCGGTTATGACATATTTAAAATTCAAATACTCCCCCCCCTCACTGAAAAAAAAATTGATGAGTAATATTTCAAGACATGGTAAAATAAACCGAGTTGTCATGTTATTTACAGTTGATTGGTCTCTAGTGGTGACTATCGTTACATTTGTCAAGTTCTTCTTCTTATTATTATTTCAATAGTTGAGATCATGAGTCAATTGAAGCTAGACTGCAATGGAAAATCTGAAAGCACCAAACAGCCGTTTCATCCTATTGTGGGACTCCTCAGCAATGCGCTTTCACGACCCTGCCTTGCAAGATTCGAACCCAGGATCTATCAGTCTTTGATTGACTCGTGATCTCAACTATTGAAATTACTACAATCTTCATAAAAATTCCTTCTGATATAATCATTAATAGCAATATTCAATATTGAATTTTTGGTACAAGATAGAATTCTCAGCATAGGGTATGTCAACAAGTTTATTTTACAAAAAAAAATGGAAAAAAAGCGTGAAAGAAGCTTACAAGTACATACATATATATGCATATGTTGATTAAATAAACTACCCGGAATTAATATGAAATGTTTTTAAAGAGAAGATTCGAATTTGTACAACTTTTTAAGAAAAATTGGAAACATGTTTAAGGACACAAATTATTGACTAGGTCAACTCTAACAACTTGTTCGTCGCATAATATATTTGCTAGATAAGGTATTATAGAGCTTTTATGCCTTTACTAATGTGCATGGATTTTAATGTATTGACATTTCGTTCTACCAGAAGATATACAAGGAGAAAGATATGATTGATGGGGATAGATAGTGTCTGATAAGATAACACCTGCCAAGAGTTTGCAAAAATTTAGGCATCTATCCACAACCATATTAATAATGACCTCAAAAGATTCATCACACACACACCGTGTTAACTGCTTTCAGCAATCTCCGTAATACAGCAAAATGTTTTCTCAAAAGCTTGAGAAAAAATAATAGAGAACAGTAAAGAATAATAGGTAATATGCACGAATTGATAAGTTGTAAGAGTAATTGTCGAGTCATCCCAAAAACATGTAGTAAGTAAGACAGAAAACTTCATTTAATAGCAATAAAACATGAGAAGATCAAGAGAGATCTGAGGAAAACTTACACCTAGATAAATGACTTTTGATACTGTTTACCAAATAATCTTAAATAGTACAAGGTTTATGTGTTCCAACATGGTGTTTAGGTGCTGTCAATGTCTCAGGTTAAAGTTATCAGTTTAGTTGGTTTAAGTTTGCGATCATTAACAACAGACCACTATTCAATACGATACAAGAACTCACTCATTTCAAGGGGATGTGAAGAGGTAGAAATCGGTATACATACATGAGAGACGGTAGATCATGCAGAAAAACAGAGGAAAGAAGAGGGGAAAGAACAGCTCCTTGTGGCACACCTTCGTGAGACAGTAGGGACGTCGAACACTTTCCTCCAAACGCAGTGTACTGTTCTCTTCCAGAGAGATAGGAACATAGTCAGTTGTTTATCCAGCTGTCAGTATTGACGCTGGCTAACTTGCTAAGTAAACGTTGTCTTGGTATAGAATCAAAAGTAGAAGTATAGTTCAAAAAAGCGCATCGAACATATTTCTTACTCTTTTCCAAGTTGAATACTATATTATGATTCAGAACAACAGCAGCATCCAAGATGCCCTTTTGCATTTGTAAGCAAATTGATGCGGATCAGTTTGCTCTTTTAGTGCAGGTTGAAGTGGGAGTAGCAATAATTTTTTCATTGTTTTGAGAAAAGTTGGAGTTATTTCTATTTCTATTGCCATTCCTATGGCCAGATACTTTCTTAGGTATTAGGATTATCTTCATCTTTCTCCACATTATGTCTATAAGATTTGTTGATAAGGATCTGTTAAAGATGCTCGTGAATGGATAACACAAAACATCAGTACACTTTTTAGAAAGGAAGTTTGGGATTTCATCAGGTTCTAAACATTGAGACGAGTTAAGTGACTGGAGACATTTTTGGACATCGGTTTTAGTGAAAATCAGAACACAACCATTCTTCGAATTTCTTGATATAAAAAGCATGACATCAGATCTTAGTATTCATCGAATTCTATTGACCAAGTTGTAATATAGCCACTAGTTTACGTGACTTGATATCGCGTGCACTATGTTGAGATGTAAGATGGTAGATGGAGATAGTCAATAGGACACCCCATCAACCATCAACTCGTTTGTTTTTATCATTAAAAAAATTTGGTAAGTTACTCGTTAATACCAACCACCCTCCTCATGTTGGTTTATACCTACTTTTGAGATTATTAGTGGTGAAGGAAGGAAGGAAGGATGATCATTTACTATGCTTCGACGAAGTACGAGATTTTAGGTTCATAGGCGGGACTATAATTTATGGACGAACCAATTAAAATTACGATAACAGGTCTTAGATTTTGGCACGAAATTCATTCACCCATTTGGCTAAATAGAGTCTTGTTATTATAGCTGATGTCAGTTCATGATGAAAACTCTAAATCTAATTCCTAATTCCTAACCATCAACTGTAAATCATAATCCTTATTCTTCAAACTGCTTTATAACTCTCATTTAGCCCCAGTAAGTAGATAGACATACTAAAGGTCACTTTAGAGTCGCTCAAAGGTCGTCCATAAATTATAGTCTCACCCGTTTAAAACTTAAAGTGTATAGTAAAGTGTTTCTTCATAAAGTTGTCGATTCATAACGTTTTCAAATGAA